TCCACCCTAACCCGCACATCCCTGGGCGCTACGGGACAATTTAGCACAGCCAACCCACCCTAACCTGCACATCCCTGGACTGTGGGACAAAACTGGAGCAAATCCACACAGACACAGGGAGAATGTGCAAACTCCGCACAGACCTTTGCCCAAGGAGTGGAATCAAACCCAGGTCCCTGGCAGAAAAGTGCTAACCACTGAGCCGCCATGTAAAACAATAGTTGGCTGTGGGCCTGGAGTCACGTACGGGCCAGAATGGGAGGCTGGAATAGATGGACGGCATTGGTCAACTAGAGATGGGCACCGTCCAGGTCCTGGGTGGGTTTTGGTGGCAGAAGGGTCAAGGTTGAAGGTCAGGGGTCAAATTTCGAGCCTTGGAACAGCCTCCAAGCGTGTTTTCTGATCTCCTTCTCTCTCTCTCTCTCGCCCCTCCCCGCCTCCCGTTTCACAGGAGGGTGTTCCGTCAGCAAGTCAAGCCTGGGCCATATCCTCTCGCAGCGTGGCATGGGCAATGCCGTGGTCATTGTAGTCGGAGGGGCAGCAGAATCGATGGCGGGTGCACCTGGGGTGCACTCTGTCCTACTGAAGAACAGGAAAGGCTTCGTCCGGTTGGCACTGACCCACGGGTAGGTCGACCCGAAAGCCCTCCCTACAACCCCCACAGCACCCACACCACCCCAAGATTCCTCCTGCCATTTCGCTTTGGCTTGTCGACTGCAGTGTGCATCACACCCAAGCTTTCCATCTCCCTTGCGGGGTGGGTTTGGCTCCCCGCAGCGGCACTGAGGTCAAGAGCAGCTCCCAGATCTCCCTCCCATCACGCTTTTTGGGGTACCCAGCGAGATCGGGATTGGCCGCCTGCTGGATCCTACCGTGCGCTCGATGGCCCGCTGCCCTCCCCGTCACTGAAATCCACTCCACATCACATGGGATCTTGCTGTGTGCATATTTGCGACTCTGCTTTGAAAGCGGCTGACGGCCTGTCGTCTGTGACGACTAGAGTTTGAGACGGGGCTATACAAATGCAAGTCAGTCTTCATCTGCACATCATCACAGACCCAGATACGCCTCACTCTGTGAGTCTCACTCTCTCTATCTGCCCCATCAGGGCAACTGCATTCCCCCAACTCTCTCTCTGTAACCTCCCCAACCCCAC